AATATAACCTAACTATTACTAGTGTTAGAATTTTGAACAAAGGGGTTATTAATATTAATGTAATATCTGGCTATTGGGACCTGCTCTCAAGATGAAATGAGGATAGTAATATATAAATTAGTTTTTTAAAAATATATTATCATAAAAATTTTTTTTATTCTTTTATTTTAACATTAGTATCAGTATTAGATAAAAAGAAAGGAATATACAAAAGAACGTTTTTCAAATTTACATTTGATATTAGTAAAATTAAGCATTGGTATTACATCACCTAAAGATTAGTCATGATAATGATAATTTAATAAAGAAGAGCAATAATAATAATAGATAATTACAATGTGAACATTTTCACCATGTCTCTTTTTAAATTCTTCAACAAAATATTTTAAATGTCCAGTATTTCCCCATAATCTATTTTAAATATTTTAATTAATCAAAATACGTATATATCACATTAGTAATAACAAAGCATCATCATTCATATTCATATTCAAGACTTTACCCATGAACAAATACAACAAAATGAACTTCTTTTGGTGTGATCATTTTTGTTTTTCGAATATTATTTTTTTATTTTTTATCTAGAAAAAGTCAAATATATATATAGATGTTTTTTGCAACTATTTTAAATTATTTTAATTAATTAATAAGTTAGAACAATGTTTAAATCCAAAAAAGGAAAAATGTTACCAGCCATTGATGATCAGGAGCTTAAATTTCCCGGCCAAATTAAATTAATATGCATCCATTTTATCGATAAGGAATGGATTCGGATATTTTCATTGTATTCTAATCTCAATATAAGGAATTGATTATCCCACAGAATTTTTCGTATTACAATTATTATTATTATTATTAACGGAAGAAAAATCCGTTGTGGCAGGAAACATTGTCACAGCGGGCGGATCTTTTAGAATTTTCTTTTTTTACTCTAGACAATTAATTGAGTTGGGATTGAATTCATCATAAGGAAACTGATACCCTTTCTTAATGTCAAATATCATGAAGGAATAAAAAATCGAGTCACATGACCATAATGTACATATATTAATATTAATATGAGATTTTGTGTAATATGGCTTGAAAAAAATTTTATTTCAAAATGAGCCACCTTCTTTGTAATGGCAGCAATAACTCAAAACATTACAACACCAGCACCAGTAACAAGTGTTGTAATATTGTTGACAACAACAGCAACAAAATTAGCAACAACAATGACATTGATCTCGACAACATCAATTACGTCAACCACAACTGCTACAAACCAATATCATCCGTCATTTACTTGAACAAAAAGGCATCATTGACAGAAACCTACTCTCTAATTAGGATTGGTAGCGATCCCAAGTCTGATCTTGTTATTTCGAATTCAAATCCTGCTGAACCGGTTATTGCAAAGACACACTGCTGGTTGGAACTAGTAAGTTAACGAAAATTTAATTTAATTGCGTGCATTGTCGAATTGAAACCTTCCAATTTCAAGGTCTGAATTTCAAATTCAAATTCACATTTTACTATATTATTTAATTATCAATATAATCTATTAGCGACGTCTAAACAACAAAAATCGAACAGTCTTTCATAATGGTCCTAATAAAAGAACCTACGTAGAAGGCAAATTGATGGAGCCTCACCAGCAATATTTGTTGAAGGACGGAGACAGGATTTTAGTGAAATGTAAAGATGGCTATATTGGCAAGTAGTAAAATATATTCATATATATGATTGTGTAATATCTTGATGTGTGTATATATTTATATTTGATAAATATACATTTATAGTAATTAACTTTGTTGAAGAAAAAACTGGTGATGATAGTTATGATGATTGTGATAACAAGATTGAAACGATGTTGCTGATAAAAAAAAAAAATATACTATTTACAAATAAATTGATTAATTCTAAGAATCCAATTTTAAAACAAGAGGAATTGAAGAATTATAAAGATGAACTGAAATTGATCAAGAGTGTTGATTGTGGGAGAGTATTAAGTCTTGCAGATCAACATTTTGACGATGATAGCGTTGTTCAAGTTCATTTTCAAAAAAGGGCTATTCAATATAATATACGCCCATTACAATGTAGCGCTAACAGAAGCAACAACTATAGCATAAGAAAGGTGACGATGGTTGCAATTTTGACAATTAGTTTTTCAATTTTGGTTGGAGGATTTTTCCATTTTTTTTAAAAAAAAATTTTTGTAGTTTGGAGGGAGAGAGGCATTGAGGTGAATGAATGACGCCGTAGTTGCGTAATTTTTTATTTTGTGAGTGAGAAGGGACATGAAGATTTTTTGGTGATTATATATAGGTATAGTTTATGAAGATAATTCAGTAGTAAAAGATTTATCTGAAGCGGCGAGTTGATGAGATGTGGAATTTCAAGGGTTGTTTCAAAAGCATCATTGAAGTTTATATTGAAAGTGAAATCTGTGTGATCTATGAAAATTATTCGGAAGATAAGTATTTAACGAGTTCAAGTTTAATAATTTACATATTTAATTTATTTAAAGTAAAGATATTGATGAGATTGTTTCTCCTGTTAGTCTTTTATTACATGTTAATTAAATTATTAGAATATGTGAGATATAAGATTTTGATTAAAGATAGCAGGTATTAAATAACTACATGTAACATTATTCAAGGTTAAGTAATGATTCTATATCATTACTTTCAATAAACTAAATTGAATTAGTTTTTTTTGGTCTTGTTCGAATATAACCTAACTATTACTAGTGTTAGAATTTTGAACAAAGGGGTTATTAATATTAATGTAATATCTGGCTATTGGGACCTGCTCTCAAGATGAAATGAGGATAGTAATATATAAATTAGTTTTTTAAAAATATATTATCATAAAAATTTTTTTTATTCTTTTATTTTAACATTAGTATCAGTATTAGATAAAAAGAAAGGAATATACAAAAGAACGTTTTTCAAATTTACATTTGATATTAGTAAAATTAAGCATTGGTATTACATCACCTAAAGCTTTAATTCAAACATGAAGTTTTTTTATTTTTTTTATCTTATGCAAATTATCATTATTACTAATTCAAACAGTATAAAATAATAAAATATATAAAATGATGAATTGACAGTAACAGAAAACAAACAAACTTCTTATAATCTCTTTTCAAAATCTCTAACCATAAAACAAGCAAGCATCCAAAGCTTTAAGAGCACTGATTGTATCAATAAGCATTAAAATCACGAGATCGTTATTCACTATTTGGAAGATAAATAACACCAATTGCTCTTCCCATTAAGTTTGGCTTTACTACTATTACTATTGACATATTGTTAATCAATTTCGGAATTACAGATAATGAATTCTGCAAAATAATCACTGCGAAACAAACTGAGAGGCTTTGTGTAAGTGACGAACTGACATTGATCAAGATAAAAAGACATTAGAAATAAGAGAACAACTTTATAAAGAATTCATTTGGAGATTGATTAAATCTAACCTGTTATAAGATTCAAAAATACCAGAATATCTTCCGATATACAAAATTTTTTACCAATAAATTATAAATTAAGGCCTTTGGCAAAAAATGATTTTGAAAAAGGTAAAAATTGATTCAAAAAATAAATAAGATTAGAAATAGAGATGATATAAGATGATACATTATTATTATGTTTCAAATATAGGAGTAATTGAATGTCTGGGGCAACTTTCAGTCATTGGAAATCCTTCTAAAGAACAATTTATTGGTTAGTAACTTGATTTTTATTTTTCCTTGGAATCAAATTAACAATAACCATATACAATTATTATTATTATTATTATATAGAACATTTTAATCAAATGAAAAGTTCAAAAGGATATTATATAATTGTGATTGAGAATGAAGAAGAAAAAATTGTTGGTGTTGGAACATTGTTGGTCGAATTAAAGTTTTTAAGAAGTTGTGGAAAGGTATAAATATATATATTATTGCTCAATTGATTTACCTACCCTCCTATTGGTTAATTTATTCACTATGAATACTCTTGACTATAAAATCTCCTTCCTATATATATACTACCACGAATTAAAGGTTCAATTACTCATATCGTCTTTATTTCACGTACTGGATATCAAGGTTAAACTCTCCTCAGATATCATCATCATCC